CAGCTGTCAGCAGAGTTGGAAGGTCACTCCCCCACATCACAGCTTTTCAGTGGCATTTGCACAACCAGGGCCTCTGTTAGGATTGGGGCCCGTTTCCCCTGACCTGTGTATTACTGGGCTCCATCTCAGCCAGCAGATCATCCCTCAGAAGAACCAGAGAGGCCTGCCAGCAATTCTCTCTTCCCTACAACTTGTCGGAATGCTGTATCAGCTGCATATAAAAACTTGAGAAATGCACACATTCCACATTGCCTCAGCCAAAGGAAAACTTTTGAAATCACCCCGAAAGACACCCCTGACTTTTTGAAAAACTTTGACACTGCTTTCCTAGAAATAAGAGCTCTGCAACGACCTTCTTTATGCAAGATATTCAGGTGTTCCTTTTATTTTAGTTTTTACACTCAGGGGTATAACAGTGTAGAAGGTTACAGTTTATAGCATCAGCCCAACACAGCCTGGGGCTTTCTGAACATTTCGTGCATCACAGACATCACTCATCAAATCAGTTATTATTCATGGGGTGGCCTTAAGGAGAAGAGGAAGGAAAATGCTAATACAAAGTTCAGAGAGTAAATGCTGAGATGACAAGGAGGAGAACACAAATGCGTTAACAGAGAAAATCATGAGGGGTCAGCCTTCCAATCCCACATCAATAAAACACTGAATTCAGAAAAGAATATGAGACCAAATTCAATGTCCTTTTCAGAAGTCCTTCTTTGATACAACCTTCATAAATTTGTCTTTGAAGGACATGTGTAGTTTTCATGCAATTCACCCAAAGATAKTGAACGTGCTTTCACAACTCTGCACAGCTACAGTCTAACCCAACACTATTTGTAATACTGCATTTCCAAGGCAATCCCAAAGAGACAAAACAGAAAACTTTATGGGCTAAAGAAGGATCTTGTGCATTTTGCTGCACAAGAAAATATAATACTGATGTAATCAAAGGATCAAAACACCCTTCTTTCTAAGTCTCCTGGACGCCTCTGCATGACAACATCTGAATGGAAGAACTCCCTGGTTCACCAGGTACAAACAATGCAGCCTGTGCAGACACACAGGGGCTGTATAGAAAGACAAAAAAGACAGAAATCAAAACACACAGAAGCCACATGTCTCAGAGAGAGACATGCAGAATCCAGGAAAGATTGAGCCTTATAATTGCATCACAATTGTACTCATAACTTCCCTGCTTTTCTGATTCAAAACGAGGCCTATATGCATTTCAGTGTCTTTGTGTTACAGACAAAGGTAAGAAATCCATGGTCTTGCCGGACAGGCTGACACAAGACCATAGCTGGCTATAGTGGAGCTAACCCTATTCCTAAAATCGACCAGAGAAGAATATAAAAAAGCTGAAATATATTACTACCGGAGTGAAAGAACCTTAGTTGCTTTCTTTTCCTTGTTAGGTTTACACGCGAGAGGCATATTTCATTCTGACTGAGAATTTGTCAGAAATTTGATAAGTCAGTTGCAAATATGGATTCACTCTGGAGAAACCATTGCACAGGAAACGGCCTAGACCCCTTCTTCCCAATACACATAAAATTTTGGCTGTGCAGACTCCGTGCTAGTTAAAGGAAAGAGTGTTGAACTGTCCCGCAGAGAGAGTCCCAGCATTGTCTGCTGCCATGTCCTCTGTGCTCACAGGGACACAAGGGAAATCCTGTTCATCAGCAGGACCCTGGCCCGTGGCGCAGTGCTGTGCTGGCAGGCTGGGGACGATGGGCTTGAGGAATTTGAACTCGCTGTTGCCCGAGCCCGTGGTGAGGCTGATCTCGTAGCAATAGGCGCGGGGCAGGGTCCCGGCAGCGGCTGCATCGGCCAGGCTGCTCTGCAAGTTGTCGGCACCATAAAGCACAGGGCCAGCCTTCAGCTCCTTTCTCTTGCACACCTTGCGAGCAACAAAGACTGCAGTGGAGATGAGGAAGAGGAGTGACACAAAGACCAAGGAAATGATTAAATAGGTTGTCAGGGAGCCGCCCTCATCCTCTGTGGCCGGGCTGCTGTGCGGGAGGCGCACGTCTGACAAGTCCTTGAGCAGGAGGGCGCTCAGAGCCGCGGTGGCTGACAGTGCTGGCTTCCCGTTGTCCCGCACCAGGACAACGAGCTTCTGCTTCACCGTGTCCCTCTCTGTCACCGGCCTCCTCAGACGCACCTCCCCGCTTTGGACAGCCACCGTAAAGAGCCCGGGCTCGGTGGCCCTCAGCAGGTGGTACGAGAGCCACGAGTTCTGGCCGGAGTCGGCATCGACGGCCACCACTTTGGTGATGAGGTAGCCCGCCTCAGCCGACACGGGCACCAGCTCGGTGGACGGAGGGCTGCTGTCCTGGGCCGGGTAGAGCACGACGGGTGCATTGTCATTCTCGTCCAGCACCACGAGGCGCACGGTGACGTTGGCTCTGAGCGGAGGAGAGCCCGCGTCAGAGGCACTCACTGTCACCTCGCTCTGCCTCAGCTGCTCGTAGTCCAGGGGCCGCAGCACAAACACGTGGCCGTTCTCAGAGTTCACCGAGATGCACGAGCAGGAACGCTGCTCTGCCGGCTGCACTGGTGCCAGGGAATAGGTCACCTTGGCATTGAGCCCCACGTCAGCATCTGCAGCGCTCACGGCTCCAACCAACACGGCGGGGACATTGTTCTCACGCACGTACATGGTGTAAGATGTCTGGTTGAAGACGGGCGCATTGTCGTTGACATCCGAGATGTCCACGGTGAAGGTGTGMGTGCTTGTGAGAGGAGGTGAGCCCGCATCTGCTGCTGTGACCGTGAGCATGTACTGAGCTGTCTCCTCCCGGTCCAGCGCGCTCACSGTCACCAGCTCATAGTAATTCTTATAGGCTGGCCGCAGCGAGAAGAAGAGCTGATCSTCGAGGGCACACGAGATCTTSCCGTTGGCACCAGAATCCCGGTCCCTGACACTAAACAGGGCAACCACGGTGCCGGGCACAGTGTTCTCGGGGAGGGGACTGCTGAAGGAACTCACCACCAGCTCTGGGGCATTGTCATTCACATCCACCACCTCCACCAACACTTTGCAGATTGCTGAAAGGCCCCCTCCATCTCTGGCTCTCACACGGAGTTCATGGTGGTCTGAATCCTCGAAGTCCAGCGGTTTAGTGAGTTTAATTTCACCAGTTATGGAATCAATCACAAATGCTGAGTCGCTTCCTCCCAGTGACTGGCTGAGTTGATAGGAGATGTCTCCATTAACTCCTGCATCCGGGTCAGTTGCCTGCACTGTCAGAACCACAGAGCCCTCTGGCATGTTTTCTAAAACCTGACCAATGTACACCTCCTGTGTGAATATGGGAGCATTGTCATTGGCATCTAGAATGACAATTTTCACTTGGGTGCTGCCAGTTCTTGCAGGAGAGCCACCATCAACAGCAATAACATCGAAATTCATCTCGGACTGCTGTTCTCTGTCTAGAGGCTTTTCCAAAACGAGTTCAACATATTTGTCATCATTACTCCGACTGCCATAGGAGACACTAAAGTACTCGTTCTCAGGAGAGATGCTGTATGCCTGGATGCTGTTACTCCCAATATCGAGGTCCCCAGCTCCCTCCAACGGCAAACGAGAGCCCGGGTCGCTCTTTTCTGAGATGTCAAAAGTGACTCGCTCCTCAGGGAAGATGGGAGAATGGTCATTGATGTCCTCCAGAGCCACCTCGACCCGAAAGAACTGCAGGGGGTTGGCGAGCAGCAGCTCGAAGGGGAGCATGCAGGTGGCCGAYTGCCCGCACAGCTCCTCCCGGTCCAGCCTCCCCGCCACGACGAGACGGCCGGAGCCGCGCTCTAAGCGAAAATGCTGCCGGCCGTCCTCCGACACCAGGCGGGCGCGGCGAGCCGACAGCTGCGCCGGCGTCAGCCCCGCGTCCTCCGCCAGGTTGCCTACCAGGGAGCCGCTTTCCGCCTCCTCGGCTACGGAGTAGCGGATGGGCACGGAGCGAACGTGCGGCAGGGAGAGGAAAGCAGACAGACAAAGCACTTGCCTTGCGATCGCCATGGCGCTGCGGCGGCAGCTGAGGCGGCGGGCAGCCTCCGTCTCTCGGATCTCCCGGGCGATTCCGCGTAGAAAGCGGCGAAATSGGTGTCGGGCGCCTTCCCTCGCTGTGTCAGATTCCGGCCGGCGGCCCGTAAAGCAGCCGGGGTGTCCCCGTGACATGGGACAGCGCTCTCCGTCTCAGCCGCTGCCACCTCGGCCCGGTCGCTCYGCTCTGGGCTGGGCTGTTCGGGGCGGCTGTTGCGGGCTCGGCCGCCTCCGCTGCCGCAGCCGCTCGGCGCTGCCTTGGCCTGCAGCACCACCCAGCGGTGAGCGGTGGCACCGCGCCCGCCGCCGCTCGCAGCCCGCGCTGCCGCTCGCCCCGCTCCACGGAGCCGCGCACACGCGAGGTGCCCTCGCTCGCCCGCCGTGGCTCCTGCGCCAGGAGACGCACACATCCTGCTGAGGACAGAAATGTTGCCGAGGATCGTCCGCGGCCTGCGGGCACTCACAGCTCACCGGCAACACCGGCAGCTGCACCGCGTCTCTTTCTGTTCCGCGCCCTCCACCGCTCGCGGGAGTCCTTTCGCTCTCGGCGGTCGCACCTTCCGAGAAACGCGGCAGCAGAACCCGCACAACGCCTTTTCCTGAGCAGCGTGAGGCACAGAATGAGTGTGGAGGGACTGAGGCGCCTTTCGTGGCTGCAGAAAGTGGCCCAAAGCCTCCGCAGGGCTATCGCTCCGGTAACAGCACGGGATGGCGTTACAGCTCCCGGGGAATCGTAGGCTGAGGACGAGGAAGGGAAGCGCATCCCAGCGCTGCTCAGGCATGGATGTCTCAACCAGTCTGGCAGTCTCACGACGGAGAAGGAGGAGTTGTAGTGCTCGCTGCTTGGGCTTTCCCCTCACTGGCAAGCGGCTAGTAGTATAGCGGTTCTTCTTTCTTGAGGAATGTCACATTAGGGCTGCTTTGCTGGCTGAGCAAGGAGGTCCTCAGGAATTGGAAATCGCTCCGCCCCGAGCCGCTGCTCAGGCACATTCCGTAGCTGCAAAACGGCATCAAAGTGCCCATGCTGCCCACGTCCGCGACCTTGCTGGAGAAGTTTCAGTCTGCGTAGCAGTGGGTAGAGAGGGGCGATAGTTGCGCCTGGAGTCTTGCAGAACAAGGCTGTCACCAAGGTGAGGACTGACAGGAGGAAGAGCGAAGAGATGCAGCCCATGGCGGTGATGAGGTAGGTGGCGAACATTTCCTTTATTGTTTCCTGCGGCTGCTGCTGCCTTTCCACAGGAATGTAGTCGAGCTGCTGGAAGGTGTCGGAGAAGCCGTGCACCAAGGCAATGCAGGGGGGTGGTGGTGGCGGAATGTGGCAGCTGCCTCTTGGCTCACACCAACACAATGAGCCTCTGCCAGGATGTGTTCCCCTCCTCCACTGCCACCACCTTGGCCAAGGTCTGCAACTCTCTGACCCTGTCTTTATGTAAGTCGTGCTCCAGCTCTTGAAGCATCTCCACAGCCTTCCATAGATCTACTCCAACAGAACATCTTCTTTCTTGTGATGCCTGCCTTGACCACCTCCTTGTTTTGCATCTATGTTAACCTTATCTCTATGAGGGTGTGTTTCTTGATCTTCCCAAGGACAGAGCTCAGATTCAATGGTCTGTAGCTCCTGGAGTCTTCCGCTCTCCCCTTTTGGAAAACAGCAGTGATGTTTCCCTTTTCCCTGACACTGAGGACTTTCTCTGACTGCCATGACATTTCAAATAGGGTGGAGAGTGTCTTGGCAACAACACTGCCCACTTCCTCAGGTAGTGGGAGATGTGTTTTCTGGCCCCAGAGACTCGTGCTTGTTCAGTATCACTAGGTTCTGATGAAGTTGCGCTTCATTTAGAGTGAGAAGGTCTTCACTGCCCCAAACTGCATCTGAGGTTTCAAGGACTCCAGATGTTTGGGAAGCTTCCAGCTAGTGAATACTGAAGTGAAGAGCTAGTTGAGCATTTCTCCATATCTGTCATCATGATTTCCCCCTTCTTGTATATTAGTGGGTACAATCTCTTTGGTCTATCTTCTCTGACCTCTGCACTTGCAGAATCTTTTCTGGTTATTCTTAACATCCCTTGCCATTTTGTTCCTTTTGTGCCTGAGCTTTCCTGTTCTCATCCCTACACATCCACACCTGAACTCATTGCCACTCGCATGTCCGTGTTTCCACTGTCCATCCATTTCCTTCTCACAACTCAGTTTGAGGAGCAGGTACACTCGTAGCCATGCCCATTTCCAGCCTGGACGATTTCTTATTCATGAGGATGAAGAGCTCTTGGAAGAGTCCTTAGTGTTGCCAGACCTGATCAGTTCCTGTGTCCCTAAGAAGAATTTCCAAGGGAATCTCACCTCTCTATTTTACTGCACTGTAAGCTCACTCTTCCAAGCAATGGAGATTTCTTGCTTGCAGCTTTCTCACTGGATCCAGCTTTCTTGGTTACAAAGACCGGATTTTAAACTTTTGCCAAAGGATTTGTGCATTACAACACAGCACAGCAGAGGCCTGTGCCTTCCCCGATCAATTCAGACAAGGATGACAGAATCGTAAGTGTGCAATAGTTTCCACTGGTCAAAATCATTGCAGCTGTTTTTCCCCTGGAATTACCGGATATATCTGGGCCTTGTGAAAGGAAAAGCTGGAGAACTCCTGGAGTCATTTCTCCTGAGCAAAGCTCCCCAGTAACATTTTTTGGCTCACTGAATTCCATGTCCAGGAATTTTGACAAATGCTTCTATAAGGAACATCCATGCTGTCTTTGTGCCATGCATCTTCTGGAACACCTACACCTTTAGTGTCACAAACHCTTTGTGCTCCAGCACCTCACAGCTGTCATTTGCAGAAGCAGCTGTCAGCAGAGTTGGAAGGTCACTCCCCCACATCACAGCTTTTCAGTGGCATTTGCACAACCAGGGCCTCTGTTAGGATTGGGGCCCGTTTGCCCTGACCTGTGTATTACTGGGCTCCACCTCAGCCAGAAGATCATCCCTCAGAAGAACCAGAGAGGTCTGCCAGCAATTCTCTCTTCCCTTCAAGTTTTCTGAATGCTGTATCAGCTGCATATAAAAACTGCAATAACGCACACACTCGACATTTCCTCACCCAAAGGAAAACAGTGAAACATCCTGCAACTGCTGCCCCCACCATTGCTGTTTGAAAAACTTTGACATAGCTTTCCCAGAAAGAAGAGCTCTACAAAGACCTTCTTTAGACAAGGTACCCAGGTGTAACCTTTATTTCAGTTTTTACACTCAGGGGTATAAAACTGTAGATTGTTACAGTTTATAAGTTATACCCAACTCAGCGTGAGGCTTTCTAAATACTTTGTGCATCACATACATAACTCAAATAAACAGTTATTATTCGTGGGGGGCAGTCCTTAAGGACAATAGGAAGGGAAATGCTAATAGATAGTTCAGACAGTAAATGCTCAGAGGAAAAAAAGAAGACTACAAATACGTTAACATAGAGAAAATCATATGTGATCAGCTTTCCAATCCCATCAAGAAAACACTGTATTGAGAAAAAAAATATGAGATTAAATTCAATGTCCTTTTTCTAAGTTCTTCTTTGATTCAACCTTCAGAAATTTGTCTTTGAAGGRCACGTGTAGTTTTCATGCAATTCACCCAAAGATAGTGAACGTGCTTTCACAACTCACTACAGCTACAGTCTAACCCAACACCATTTGTAATACTGCATTTCCAAGGCAATCCCAAAGAGACAAAACACAAAACTTTATGGGCTAAAGAAGGATCTTGTGCATTTTGCTGCACAAGAAAATATAATACTGATGTAATCAAAGGATCATAACACCCTTCTTTCTAAGTCTCCTGGACACCTCTGCATGACAACATCTGAATGGGGGAACTCCCTGGCTCACCAGGTACAACCACTGCAGCCTGTGCAGACACACAGGGGCTCTATAGAAAGACATAGAGGACAGAAATCAAAACACACAGAAGCCACATGTCTCAGCGAGAGACATGCAGAATTCAGGAAAGATTGAGCCCTATGATTGCATCACAATTGTACTCATAACTTCCCTGTTTTTCTGATTCAAAACGAGGCCTATATGCATTTCAGTGTCTTTGTGTTATAAAGGTAAGAGATCCATGGTCTTGCCGGATAGGCTGACACAAGACCATAGCTGGCAATTAGTGGAGCTAACCCCATTCCTAAAAGCGACCAGAGAAGGACATAAAAAAGCTGAAATATATTACTACCAGAGTGAAAGAACCTTAGTTGCTTTCTTTTCCCCGTTTGGTTCACAGGTGAGAGACATATTTTATTCTGACTGAGAATTTGCCAGAATTTTGATAAGTTAATTGCAAAAATGGACTCACTCCCTAGAAAGCATTGCCACAGGAAACAGCCTAGACCATTTCTTCCCATAATACATGAAACATCTGACTGTGCAGACCCCGTGCTAGTTAAAGGAAAGRGTGTTGAACTGTCCCGCAGAGAGAGTCCCAGCATTGTCTGCTGCCATGTCCTCCGTGCTCACAGGGACACAAGGGAAATCCTGTTCATCAGCAGG